TGTTTGTTGTTGAGGTGTGTGTTTTGAGGTGTGTGTTGTTGAGGTGTGTGTTGTTGAGGTGTGTGTGTTTGAGGTGTGTGTGTTGAGGTGTGTGTTTGAGGTGTGTGTGTTGAGGTGTGTGTGTTGAGGTGTGTGTTGTTGAGGTGTGTGTGTTGAGGTGTGTGTGTTGAGGTGTGTGTTTGAGGTGTGTGTTGTTGAGGTGTGTGTGTTGAGGTGTGTGTTGTTGAGGTGTGTGTTGTTGAGGTGTGTGTGTTTGAGGTGTGTGTGTTTGAGGTGTGTGTGTTGAGGTGTGTGTGTTGAGGTGTGTGTTGTTGAGGTGTGTGTTGTTGAGGTGTGTGTTGTTGAGGTGTGTGTTTGAGGTGTGTGTGTTGAGGTGTGTGTGTTTGAGGTGTGTGTGTTTGAGGTGTGTGTTTGAGGTGTGTGTTGTTGAGGAGTGTGTGTTTGAGGTGTGTGTGTTTGAGGAGTGTGTGTTTGAGGTGTGTGTTTGAGGTGTGTGTGTTTGAGGAGTGTGTGTTTGAGGTGTGTGTGTTGAGGTGTGTTTGAGGTGTGTGTTTGAGGTGTTTGTTGTTGAGGTGTTTGTTGTTGAGGTGTTTGTGTTTGAGGTGTTTGTTGTTGAGGTGTTTGTGTTTGAGGTGTGTGTGTTGAGGTGTTTGTTGTTGAGGTGTTTGTTTTGAGGTGTGTGTTTGAGGTGTGTGTGTTGAGGTGTTTGTTGTTGAGGTGTGTGTTTGAGGTGTTTGTTGTTGAGGTGTGTGTTTGAGGTGTTTGTTGTTGAGGTGTGTGTGTTTGAGGTGTTTGTTGTTGAGGTGTGTGTGTTTGAGGTGTTTGTTGTTGAGGTGTGTGTGTTTGAGGTGTTTGTTGTTGAGGTGTGTGTGTTGAGGAGTGTTTTGTTTCTCTGCAGGTGCTGGTGGTGCGTTTTGCTTCTCTCTTCGATGTGAAGGATTACAGCGTCACCTTCCTGGGGGGAAAGAGGTACGGCGTAGAGACTCTGAGAGCCATGGGGGCCGGAGACCTGCTCAACTCCATGTTCGACTTCAGTGAGAAACTCGTAAATCTGGGACTCAGCGAGGAGGAGATGAGCCTCTTCACTGCCGTGGTGCTGGTGTCTGCAGGTAGGGGGCGCTGTTTATGGATCATTTACAGTAAAGAAAATACATTTTGCTACAATTAGATATGATTTACACGGTTAGAAGTTTGGAATTTGATTCAATACATGACAATAAACTGAAAGATAAATACTCCGGACATACAAGAGCGACAATTGAAACGAATAGATAATTTTGTAGATAATTCTTTAAAGGATTTAGCCCAAAAAATGCAAAGAAAGGCCAAAATGAATATAAAAATTGCTATAAGGTTAACCCTCAATCCAATGCTCCAAATCTCACGATGTATTATGCTATCAAATGCTTAAGGCTGCTTTTTAAAAGGCACACTATAGAATAACTTTTTATTATGACACACTATTTTATGATATCTCTTATAATACTTTTATCATTTTAGCATTTGACAATCTCTTACCACCATCTTGAGTTATTTTGAACTCATACAATCAAAGCTTTAATAACATGTATGCTTAATACTCATTTTGTATCTTTTCTACCAAGACCAAAGCAGAGTTAGGAGTGTCTTTACCATACTATAACATTTCATAACATTAAAAACGATAGCATTTGTTAGGACATTTTATGGCATTTAGTGTCATATTCATATTCTGTACAAACTGTATTCAATCAGGAGAGACGGTTTTGATAAGAATACATATTTATTGCCAGGAATACACAAATGAAGGTAATGGAGTTTTGGCGATTGGGCCCCGATCCGATACCCCCCCCGGGGTCTTGATCCTGGTGGTGGTAAATGGATAGTTGGGTTCGGTCTGAAGGGGAGGGGCTTAGCTTGACCCTGGTGGTGGTGAATGGATATCTGGGGTCGGTCTGAAGGGGAGTGGTTTAGCTTGACCCTGGTGGTGTTGAATGGATGGTTGGGGTCAGTCTGAAGGGGAGTGGCTTAGCTTGACCCTGGTGGTGGTGAATGGATAGTGGGTTCGGTCTGAAGGGGAGGGGCTTAGCTTGACCCTGGTGGTGGTTGTGGTGAATGGATGGTTGGGCTATGATAGGCTTGTGAGAATAGAGCAAAGTGATTGGTTAAGCTGGGGAGTGACGCCCCCAATCACTTATTGAGAGGAGAGAGAGTAGTAACATAAAAATAGTAAATGGATTAGTAAAGACGGTCTTCCTGGCTCAGCTTCATAAGTCCACTAAGGTCAAATGTGTGATATTGGGCTCGATAAATACATTTTGATTGATTGCTTACTTTATGATGACATTTCTTCATGGCGCAATATATCTTATTAAACCTTCATTAGTTTGGCATCCGACACACATTATAACATGATAATTGATTTTTAAGCTATTTTTAACCCATGAAATGATCTCTTCCTGTCCTCCACAGATCGCTCGGGCATCGAGAACGTGAACTCTGTGGAGGCGCTTCAGGAGACTTTGATCCGAACTCTGCGGAGTTTAATCACCAAAAACCACCCCAACGAATCGGCCGTTTTCACCAAGCTGCTTCTCAAACTTCCCGACCTTCGCTCGCTCAACAACATGCACTCAGAGGAGCTGCTGGCCTTCAAAGTCCATTCCTGAACCTTCCTCTAATACTTGAAGAACTGTAAAAACAACTCCCCCACCCAATTACACCTCTTAAAGCTGAAAAGTGACATTTAAAAGGGAGGGGGAGACCATAACATGTACTGTACTGTAGGGCTGTGTGACACACTGATCGATGTGTGTGTGTTCCTGTGTTTGTGTGTAGCATCCTGTGTGTGTGGATAAACATTAGAAGCACTTTTCTGTATAGTGTAAGCTGGTATTTCTGCATTCATAGTGCAATATGTGACTGCTTTTTGATTTATAGCGAGGAGAAACTTGTGTATACTTTCAACGAACGAGAGATTGAAATGCTGTTTGATAAGCTGGAAAAAATACTGTCGAGTTAAAGGTCCCATGTCACGGCTAGAGGTCTACTAGAATAGATTTATATTGTTCAATGTTCCAAACTCTCATTGGTTTCTCATCCAGCATCTCTGTATGTGTATTCACTCTCTGTCCTACACGGCTTGTTGGAGCTCCTGCCCCCCCCCCTCCTCCCTGTGAGCCCAGTGTGCTCTGATTGGTCGAGACGTTGCGAGGCTCGCTG